ATCTGAAAAGATTGACATCATGCATCTTTGGAAAGTTGCTGGGGCATTGCACAAACCGAATGGCATCCTTCTATAAGCAAACGTACCAAATGGGCATGTGAATGTGGTTTTCTCTTGGTCTTCCGGAGCAATGGGAATTTGATTATAACCTGAAAAACCATCAAGAAAACAATAGTAAGCATGGTCAGATAAACGTTCAAGCATTTGATCAATAAAAGGCGAGGGGAAATGATCTTTTCTATTGAATGTATTCAACTTCCTGTAATCAATGCAAACTCTCCAACCGGCGATGGTTCGTGTAGGAACTAACTCATTCTTCTCATTCTTCACAACGGTGATTCCAGACTTCTCTTTCATGTTGGGGTTTAACCTCCTTTGGGCATCACAGGATGGTTTGCTGTCTTCTTCCATTAAAATCCAGTGCATGCACATGCTTGGACTAATTCCTTTGATGTCTGCTATGGTCCACCCAATGGATGTTTTATGCTCTTTTAGAACCTTAATTAAGCTCTCTTCTTCATGTGAGGTGAGACCTGCAACAATTATAATAGGGAGAGTTTCGTTAGCACCCAAATATGTATATTTAAGATGATTGGGCAAAGGTTTAAGTTCTAGCTTTGGTGGGATGATAATGGATGGCTCCAATTTCGTGGATGATGGTCCAAGAGGCTCGAGTGGTGGCCTAAAGGATAGTGGGTATGGCTGAAACACTTCTAAGGCAGCCACCACTTCTTGGAACTCCGGTTCACTAAGATCTTCCTCTTCTTGTGTTAGGACAACTTCTAGAGCATCATTAGACTTTTTATGCAAAATTTTGGAGGAAACCTCATGATCCACAACATCAATTGAAAAGCAAGAATCAAGAGAGATAGAAGGTTGAGATAGAGCATCAAACAATTTAAATTCAATAGTTTTACCCAAAACAGTCATGGAAAGGGTGCCATCTTTCACTTTGATGATTGTGTCTACAGTGGCCATGAATGGCCTGCCTAGGAGAATGGGATCAACACGATCTCCATTTGGATTGTCCTCCATGTCCATCACTACAAAATCAGCAGGGAGAATTAGTGTATTAACTTGAACTAAAATATCTTCTACAATACCTTTTGGATATTTTATAGAATGATCAGCTAGTTCAAGTCGCATTGAAGTTTCTTCATCCCTTCTAAGCCAAGTTTTTGATACACTGAATATGGCATTAGATTGATGCTTGCTCCCAAGTCCAACATGGCTCTTCCAACCTTCTTGTCTCCAATATTAATGGGAATGTCAAAGCTGCCAGGATCTTCTAGTTTTGGTGGAAGCTTCCTTTGCAACACAGCACTTACATTCTTGTTGAGCTTTACTTCTTCATTTGGAGCAAAATTGAGCTTGTGAGTTTTCAAGTTCTTGATGAACTTTCCATATGCAGGAATCTGTTCAATAACATCAAGCAAAGGCAAATTGATATTAACTTTACTCAAAATATCATAAATCTCTTTAAAAGCCTTATCTTGCTTTGCTTTCTTAAGACGGCCTGGAAATGGAATCTGTGGAACATATGGAGCGGGTGGCACGTATCTATCTTCTTGAAGATGTGGTGGCACAAATTTATCACCTCTTTTATGCAATTGGAATTTGTTGGGTTCCTGAGAATCTGATTTGGCATTAGGGGCAAATTGAGAAGTTTTGAGCTGTTCTCCTTCCATAGCTATGGTCTCCTCCTCTTCATCTTCATTTTCTACAACCACAGCATCATTTATTCCTGAGAATCTGATTTGGCATTAGGAGCAGATTGAGAAGTTTTGAGCTATTCTCCTTCCATAGCTGTGGTCTCCTCCTCTTCATCTTCATTTTCTACAACCACAGCATCATTTGAAAGATTAGAATCAACTATATTATCAACAATCTTACATGAATGGCCTTGGCTTCGTGGTTCTTTGGATTGATGACGGTTTGGCTTGGCCATTTTCCAGGTTCTCTTTGCGTTATTTCAGCAGCTATTTGGCCTAATTGGACTTCCAATTTGGAGAT